GGATGGCCCATGAAGAGCAAGGGACAGAGAAAATAGAAAGTCAGAGTGATGAGAATGTAAGTGACAGCCTGACTATTGGCCTTGACAATGGGGGTGTTGTGGTACTTCACAAAGACACCAAGAACAAAAGATGTGAGTACAAAGAAGCCCAGGGTTATGCATATGAGAATCATTCCTAAGGGGTCTTCATAGGAGAAAAATATCACTGATTTCTGTAGGCAGTAGTTCTGCTGTGTGTTTGCATAGTGACTTTCTGGGTATTTCACACAATTCTCCACATCTGGACAAGGAGGAATATTATTATGGGTCTATATTCAGGTTTCACTTTTATCCCAAGAACTTCCCAGAACCAGTTCTCTGGCATGTTACCCAGACCTCTTTCATTGGTTGTTTTATACTCAAGGAAGTTGGTGCTCAATAGTACTCAATAGTCCCAAATTCTCTGTAATCAATTATCCAAAACTGATACTGCTCATTCTCTTTACTGAGACCTGAAGTGAACAGTACTATTCTCTTCATATTTGTACTTAAATATCTTCAATTATGGTGAATTTGCCTGTTTATATAGTCATAAGTTGTTGAATGAAATTGCATAAACTAACGTGGTCATAAAATTTCTTCCTTGTGAAACATAGGAAGAGTCAATTGGTTATTCAAGTTCATTACAAAAAGGAAAATATGCTATCAAATTTCATGCTTTTAATATTGGTCTGAGTTATTAGCTACAAATTTTCCTATTTTGTGGTGTTTATAGGATTTTTGGTGTGTTCCTTGAAGGTGCATTTGGTGTGGGAACTACTAGACTATTGATAGTTTGAAACTCTCTAAGTGAAACTGTTTTGGGATTTGTATGGATCAATGATCTATTCCGAAGATAGATATAAAACTCTTCTGCTTTGGAATGTGCTTTCATGCATCCTCTCACTCTAGTAAGAGGAGCAAGGGCTGTCTCTGGCATCAACTCAAAGAAAGGCTCTCTGATCACCTCCTTCTGGGGGTGCAGTCTTGCCAGGCCACAGAGGAAGACAATGCAGTGAGTCCTGATGAAACCTGATAGACTAGGGTCAGATATAAAGGGAGGATTACCTCCCTTATCAGTGGACTAGGAGTGAGGCATAGGAGGAGAAGAGGGAGAAAGGAAGGGTGGGGTTGGGAGGAGACGAGGGAGGGGGCCACAGCCAGGGTACAAAGTGAATAAATTGTAATAAATAATAAATAAAAATTAAAAACATACTATTTGAACCTAAATGTTAACATTTATAAATAAAAAATCTCATTAGCCAAAAACTTTAATTATAGTTCATTCTTTCTGGTTTTGTCTACTATTCAACATTATGCCTGTGTGTACTTCTCACACTTACTGTTATCTATTATTTCATGTTTATTTATTATTGCTTAGATGTATTTTGAATAGGGTCCATTTATATTTCCCAGATTCACCTTGAAAAAGAGATCCTTCCACTTCATTGTCCCTAGAGCCTCTGAGAAGTGGACTGTCCATACATGCCTAGCTTAATCTCAACAATAACATAATAGAAGTAGTGATGTATCATTTCAAATTCTTTGAAAGAAATTATTCCATAATTTATCTATTTTATGCTATATGGATCCATTATACACAGTACAGTCATTTGTACACATTTGTGAGTTATTGAATACTCTGAGATTCTTCAAGCTTAAGTTGTCAAATAAAATCAGAAGTGCTTCAAACAGAATCAATGTCGTAATATATAGATGATTATTGATTTAAAAATTCATTTGTGGTCCCCCATTCTGAAGAGGCCTATGGGGTGCGGAATCAGCTTTCTACTGGGAAATCATTCCACCTGCTCCCCATCTGCCTGGCCCATCTGGGCTAAGATATAGAACCCAGCTAAGGTGTGCAGGGAACATGACCCAAGCCCCATTGTCCCCCATCCTGAGAAAGCCTGTGGCACACCATAGCAGCTTTCAGCTCAAAGATCCTTCTACCAGATCCCCGTCTGCCTGGCCCAAGTGAGTCACAGACAGTAAGCCCAGCAAACCATGAACTCAGCAGAGGTGAGCTGGTTGAGGGACCCAAAGCCCATTATCCCCAATCCCCAGGAAACCTGTGGGGTGCTGGACCAGCTTTTAGCTCAGAGAGCTTCCCATCTGCCTGGCCAACCTACGTCACAAACAGTGAGCCCAGTAAAGGTGAGCAGGGCATGAAACCCAAGCCCCATTGGATCACATCCCATTGAGGCCTGTGTGGGGCTGGAGCAGCTTTCTGCTTGGAGATCTTTCTACCTGCTCCCCATCTGCCTAGCCCATCTGGGACACAGACAGTGAAACCAGCAAAGGGACCATGAGGCTAACTAAAACCAGAGTCAACCAGATGGCTAGAGGCCAGCATGAGAACACAAGCAACAAAATTCAGGGCCATATGACACCACCGGAAACCAGCAGTCCTACGACAGCAACCCCTGAAAATACCATCATACCAGAAGTGCATGAAAAATATTTAAAAGCTAAGATTATAAAAATGATAGAGGCCTTAAAGGAGGAAAATAAAGCTCTCAAAGTAGCACAGGAAAATGCAATCTAACAGATGAAAGAATTTAACAAATCCCTTAAATAAATTAAAGAAATACAGGAAACTACAATCGAACAGGAGGAAATGAATAAAACTGTTCAAGATCTTAAAATGTAACTAGAAGCAATAAAGATAATACAATCTGAGGCAACCCTGGAGATGGAAAACCATGAGAATGACATCCAGTTTCCCTTATCACTGGCAAACATCACTGGGTAAGGGGGTTGGTTAGGTTTTTGGTTGTTTTCGGGGGCTCTGAATGTTTACTGTTATCAGGAGATGGTTATAAGTCATTAATGATATTATTCAGAGAAAAAATGAGGTTAGGATATTAGATAATGCAAGTTAATTCTTAGTTAATCAACTCATACTCACATTGGACACTAGTCTAATTTATCACAGTATTATACATTCTAGGTTTAACAAACAGATATGAAGCAAGTATAATGTGGAAAATCTGAATGGGAGGAAGTTATGCAGGCTTGGAGATTTAGGATGGAGTAATTATTGTTCAGCATTGTGCTCTAGATTAATTAAATAAATCCTAGTCTCTGTATGGTGATTTGGGCATACAGCTGGTTTAGGAATAACTGCTGTTTAACTATATTAAATATTAATGACGATTCAACAGAGGAAAGAAAAAAGAAAGGAAGGAACTAAGGAAGAAAAGAACAAAAGAAGGAAGGAAAGAGGGGAGGAGGGAAGGAGGGAAGGAGGGAAGGAGGGAAGGAAGGAAGGAAGGAAGGAGGGAAGGAAGGAAGGAAGGAAGGAAGGAAGGAAGGAAGGAAGGAAGGAAGGCTGCATCAATGTGGTGGTTTGGAAGAGAATGCTTCCCCCAATCTCATATATTTGAATGCTTGGTCCCCAGTTGGTGGAACCGTTTGAAAAGGATTAGATATGGCTTGTTGGAGAAGATGTCGCACTGGAGGTGGACTTTGAAGTTTCAAAAGCTTGTGCCAAGCCTGTGCGTCTGTCTCTACCTTCAACTTGCAGATAAGGTGTAAACTCTCAACTACTGCTCCAGCACCATGCCTACCTGCCTGCTGCTATACTCTTTGCCACCACTGTCATGGACTCACCCTCTGGAACCATAAGCAAAGCCCAATTAAATGCTATGATGGCTATTCTAGGTTTTCAACTTGACTACATCCAGACTTAACTAAAATCCAAAAATGGTGAGCACCCCTGGGGGTGTTGTTTTGTTTTTCAATTTGAAGTAGGAAGATCCACTTCAAATCCAGAAGAAATACACCTTTAAATCAAACCTTCAGGCAGGAAGACACAGCTTTAGTCTGAGCCACACCTTCTGCTGGAAGCCTATATAAGGATATCAAAGAGGAAGTGTTTGCTCTTTTTCTCCTTGGCAGCACACTGTTAGCTAGTCCATTCCTTCACTGGCATTAGAACCTACTGCTTAGAGATTGCAATACATACTAAAGACTAGCCAAGATATCCAGCCTCATGGACTGAGAAACTACTAGATTCTTGGACTTTCCACTCACAGCCATTGTTGGATGAGCTGGACTGTATAGCCTATATGTCATTCTAATGAGCCCCCACTATACCAAGATTCATTCTATAAGTTCTGTTACTCTAGAGAACCCTAACACAAATGCTTTCTACATTTGTGTTGGTCATAGCATCTCTTCATAGCAATAGCAAAATAATAACTAAAACAATAAATGAGGCCTAAACAATGACCATATAAAAAAACATGCTAACAGAAAAGGGGTAAAGTCTCAGAGTCCCAACCCTAGACACAAACTGGAGACAACTAATTGATGGACCAGGCTGACTTCACCTAAAGATTAGAAGCCATCCTGTACAAGTTCAAGATAGGCTCATTCTTGTTTTCTGTTGGACCATGTCTTGACACATTTTCTGGAATTTGACACAGTCCATAACATACCTGGGCTTCCACCGTGATAAGATATTCTATCAAATAATTTTGAAATGTTCTGCCAAGTTCCTACAAACCAAAAACACCTGCAAACTCCCTGGACTTGCAGTTTGGGGGCTATATTTTTCTTTCCTCTTGTTTGGGGCTATTATGTCAAACCCCAACTTAGGGAGATAGACCTGACAGAAAATAAAGCTTAATTCTACTAAAAGAGAGAAAGAGACAGAGACACACAGAGAGACAACAAAGCGACACAGAGACACTCGATAGTCTCTCTTTCAATGGGATTAGCATGACTGCTGAGCGACAGAGAATTACCCTTTCCCAGGAATGAAGCCCAATTAAACGATTATCTACTACAAAGCAGTCAGTGCCAGATCCACATGTATACCCAACAAAAATGAATTCAGTAGGCTGTATTCCAATATCTGTAGGTATACGTGTAACTAGAATAATGAAAGAGGTCATAAAATTGAAAAGAGAAGCTGGAGGAAAGGCTAAAAGAGCAAGTTATAGAGTTATAATTAACAAAAGACAACACGAGAATTGACCAAAAATGCTTTAATTCAGATGTCAACTATGAACAATTGTGAACCAGCTTTTTGCATTTTAACACAAACTGTTGATATTAGATATGACAGCAGGCTTTTTGTTGGTTAAACTTTGAAAATTCAAAATCAGTCACCCTCTTGGAGCAGTGAATAGCTCATCAGTTTCAGTCTGAATAATTTTGTAAAAATATCCATAGAACTCTGTATGAACAGGATATATTTAACAAAATATCAATGCGGTAGTTGTTTAATGTGAAAGTTATATATTCTGATTTGAATCTGAAAGGTGTGTGTATTGGGTGCTGAGTTTTCAGAGGAGGTGATGTAAACTTCAGGAAGGCCCTTTTTTGTTTGCTATTTGTCCTTTGGGTTGTTTTTGATGCATATTTTTGGAGGTTTTCGTTAAAGATGTCACTGCCATATATGTTTAAATAATGAACCTGTCATTCAGCCATTTCTTTGCTGTTTCCTATCTACCTGAAGGTTAAAAACTGTTAGCTATCCCTTCTGCCAACCATGATCTACCCATGGTAAGGGGTCAAGTACTATATGAAACTATGATTTAAAATATTTACATTCTTAAATTGTTTCTGTAAGAGAGTTGGCCACAGCAATACCAAGTTAAATAATATAACCATGGTATTTTAATACTATGTGTAAGTCTGAAATTGCAGTCAGAACTACATGTATAAAGGGGCACATACACTAAGTAGTCTCTCAATGTATTTGTTACACATGTGGCAAAATCTCTGTACGTAGGCTGAGTGCTCCAAATTCAGATTTCTAAGACAACATATATAATAAAAACATACTTATATTTTTAGATATGTTTCAAGCCTGGCCACTAGCTGTCAGTATTACCTATAACCTTTCATTTATGTCAACCAGAAATGCCCAGATTGGAGGCAAATTTATCTGACTGGGAGTGACCATCCTGCTTCTTTGTACACAACTGAATACAATTTGAAATAATATTTTAAATCATTTATTATTTTCAATTAACACCCAGGTTATATGAACAGAATCTTTTTTTACATTTTAGAATTTTTAACCCCATCCAAATGAGGGTGTTTTATTTCAACTCTTTCATTATCTTCTTCAGCTTCCCTGCCTTCTGCTTATCTATGATGACCAAGATACAGGAATCTGCCCCAATAAACTTTGAACTTCACACTCCCCCACTTCTCTTGGCATCCTTTCACTGAGCTGTAAAATCAAATCTTTCATTTGCTCAATTTTTTAATAACATTCAGGGCATTCAGACCATGCATGCAGCATCTAAAAAAGCTCTAGAAATTTTCATTCTTAATTTTTTATGCCTTAAAATTTTATGGCTGGACACAAAAGCACATACATGTAATCTAAGCACTCAGGAGGCTAAGGTCGGAAGAGCAGAACTTTGTTATCACTCAGGGCATTTGTACCAACACCTTATTTTCAAACCGAAAAGGACCAAAGAAATATCTTTCCAATAAAGCATTCTGGACTGGCTAAATATCCTCTAGAATTGCTTTTAATTTTACAAGAGTTGTTAAGTATTTTATAAGAGTTGTTCAGTATAAAATAGAGGCAGGACAGACGGCTCAGAGGATAAAGATGCTTGTTTGCTGTAAAGCCTAATAACCTGGATGTGATACTAAGGGCCCACAAGGTAGGAAAAAACTGACTTTGGAGTTTGTCCTCTGACATTGACATGTGTGCTATGGAGCACATGCACAACTACATATAATAAAACCTTCAAAGTGTAACAGAGGTTACCTATATGAAAGGCAGGTTAAACCCACAGTGGTCACTCTGCCACTGCGCTACATCTGCAGCCCTAACTGCTTAAATTCAAGTGGGCTCACTTTCATGAGTGAAGTGATGCTCAGTGTCATGTAATTTCCACAAAGTTCCACAAGTTTCTACAAAACCTACATGAATAGGACCCCTCCAGCATCTTTGATTCAAATGGAAATAAAGTATACCAACATTTTACCCCATTGTGTTCTTGTCCTTTGTAACCTGTATGGGGTTTATGAAGTTCTTATCCATTCTCAAGATTCTTTTATTTTTGATTATTTGGTTGTTGGTTGTTTTAAAGGTCTCATATAACCCAGGTTGTGTTTGAACTTGCTTTGCAGCTAAGATTATAGTATAAGTCCTGATCCTCCTTCCTCAACTTTCCAAGTATTGACATTCGAGGAATGCACCAACACACCCAACAAGGAGTTCCGAATTCTACTCAGAGTTTAAATTCTTCACTTTCACTGGTTTCACACCACTGAGTTCTAGTAGTATGTCAGGAGAACCTCGAGTAGAAAAGTTTGCCCTATTTTCTTTTAAGTCCTGGTGTCTTCTTCTGTTGCCCGAGTACAAGTGACCCTCCACCATAAACATGTCTTATGTTGGGTTAATGCACTTGACAATTTAATAATTTAATTTGCCAGAGTCAGTTCTAAGTTCTTTGATAAACGAGCATGAAACAGTTTCCTTTACTGTTTATTCATGCAGTTTAACCCCTTGTATGGGTAGCCCTATGTGGAGTACGATCTGATTTGTAGGTGTTTTCCAGTATTCTTTACAATCACAGGGTTCCCTTATTTGGAAGAGTGTTGATGTTTAAGTAAAGTTTGTTTGATGGTGGAAAGCTTTCTTGCATTCTTCATATTCATAGTACATTGTCTGATGTTGAGAAGTGTTAACCAAAAGAGATTTGTTGCACTGTTTGCATTCACAGGCTTTCTCCATAGTATGAATCTTCTGATGCCGTCTAAGGTTTGACTTATCATAGAAAGCTTTCCGACACTCCTTACACTCATAGGGTTTCTCGCCTGTATGAGTTCTCTGATGTACAGTGAGGTGTGAAGTGCAGTAGAAAGCTTTCTCACATAACTGACATTCATAGGGTTTGTCACCTGTGTGAGTTCTCTGGTGTCGAGTCAGGCCTGACTTCCGATAGAATGTCTTCATACACTGCTTGCATTCATAGGGTTTTTCACCAGTATGAGTTCTCCAATGATGACTGAAACTCGACTTACAGATAAACGATTTCCTGCACACTGTACATTCATAAGGTTTCTCACCTGTGTGAGTTCTCTGATGTACAGTTAAATAGGATTTGGTGGAGAAGGCTTTCCCACATTCTGCACACTCATAGGGCTTCTCACCTGTATGAATTCTCTGATGTAGAGTAAGTTGAGGCTTTTGGCAAAAAGCCTTCCCACATTCCTTACATTCATATGGCTTCTCGCCTGTGTGAATTCTCTGATGGTCAGTAAGCTCTGACTTACGATAGAAAGCTTTCCTGCACTCGAAACATATATATGGCCTCTCACCTGTGTGAACTCTCTGATGCTGAGTGAGGTGTGACTTTTGGCAGAATGCTTTACTACATTCTGTACATTCATAGGGCTTCTCACCAGTGTGAGTACTCTGATGTCTGTTGAAGCTTGTTTTCCAATAAAAGCACTTGCCACATATTTTACATTCATAGGACTTTTTTCCTCTGTGGATTTTCTGACGGAGACTCACTTCTGGCTGCTGAGAAAACTCATATTCCTTCTGGACAAAGAGCTTTTCTCCCTTAGGTTTTGGAAGGTATGATTCAGTAATGAAAGGGTTTGCAAAGTCACTACATTTGTAATTGTTCTCTCCCAGGTGTATTTGCTCATTTTCATCAAGGTCAGACTTGTTACACTTTACCTCTGATATAAAAGACTTCTCCCTTATCTGAGCCATCTCTTTGCTAATAAGTGCTGTATCACCTAAGGATTTTGCATATTCACTGAATTTATGAGAAAATAATATTGCTTTTGTGTTGAAGGATTTCCCTGGTATAAGACTTTGAAAGTAACTTTGTGAATTTTGAAACCTGTACAGACTAACATGCTCTGGATGTTTGATGGATTTTATAGTTCTGTTAAGATCATCAAGTTCTATCTCATCCGAATCACTATGGAGATACACATCCTTCCACAGAATAAGCTTTCTAGGACTCATTCCTAGTGAGTTCTCAGTCTTTATATTCTGATTTGAAATGTGGTTTCCACTCACATTGAAAGTCTTCCCTATTCCAGCCAACAACTTTGATGAATCACTGTCAAATGCAATTTGCCATACATGTGTTGCTTTGGTTTCTGGACTGGTCTTGTTCAGAGTATTCATTTTCTGAAAATCTAAAATGACAGTAAGACATATTAATATGTACAAATTGGACTATCTTCCTTCCCACTTAGAAGGATAACACACACACATAAACCTAATTTTATCTTTTCTGCATTACCCATCTATTTGCTTTTAAATCATTTTATCAAAAATGAAAAAAAAAAAACTAAAAAATTGTATTAGCAAAATGATACTCATTTCCTTTACCTAACTCAACATCATATATAACTTCTAAATTTAATACACATTAATTGTATGAACTAAGGTATATTAGGTTGCTTTGATATATGTATACAGTTTAATAGTATTCACACCCAAAAAGGTTTGTCTCGTTTCTATACAGGTACACAGTGTACTCTGATAATATTCATGTCTACCTTTCTTAGACCAGACCTGTAGGTACTCTTCCCCTTCCAGAAACTCCCCATTTTACTATTCTGAGCTTATTTAATTCTAGAAAATTTAACCCTTATTTTTTTATAAGCCACTGATCACACAAAACTGTCCAAACACATTTTTGTTTAGTTTCTAAAATTTCTCTGGCTATTGCTTTTTAGGATTTTCAGTTTTGATTTTAAAAGATAGAATAAATTATTTCCAATGTTTGTTAGACCTCTAGAACTTCAAATTTGATTTGTTTTAGAGATAGCATAGAAATATATTTCATAGCCACTGAGACAGTATATACTATCTATGTCTCTTTAATATCACTGATGCACACTGTTTAACTATGACATTTCCCTGTTAAATCTCGTTTCTCCATTAGCTACTGATGATAGTAGACTACTTTAGTCATTCAACTCCAGTAGGTACTTCATGCATGAAAATGGATATTGTCTTGTTCAGATTTCTTTGTTATATATACACAGATAGACAGACAGATATAGATATATCATCCACTCCAAGAATGCTAAACTGAGTCACTATTGCTCTATCCAGAACATCTGGCTTTCTTTGTGTCTAGAAATATTTTTATGGAACTCAGCACAACAATATTCAGTGCATAAACATTTGGAATAATTTTATTTTAATGGGTTGGTTCCTTTATGAATATTCAGTAAATTTCTTTATCCCTTCTAAACTAATTTGGCATGAAATTGGCTTACTCATGTGAATAGAGCTATTAATGAGTACTTTTATAGTGTTTGTTTCAAAAAACATTGTTCATATTTTAAATCCATATGTACTTCTGTCAGCGAGAGGAGATGCTGCACACAGCAAACAACAAGATTTTGGCTTTTTTACCATTTTGGCCATCTGCTTTAAAATTTAGAACATTTATATCTAGGGCTCTTATTGGAAGATAACATTAAATCTTTATCTTAAAAGGTCGTTTGCTAAATAATGGTGATAGAATGTACACATCCTCTGTGATTTGTGACTACTTCTTGATTTACTGTCTACAGTATGGCTCAGTCTCAAAAAACTAAATGATTACCCTCTCAGGTACCTCTCTCGAGCTGGGAGTCTGGGTATAGTACTTCAAGGTAAAGGACACAATGTAACTGGTTTCTTCTCCAATGCTAGTCTGTTGTGAAGAAGTTATTTTCAGGCAAGGAATGCTTGACTGTATGTCAGTCTTCTAACAACTGTGGATTTCTCCTCTGTCTAGTTGTCCCTAGGGCTGCCTACATGCTCCAGGTTTCCCTTGCACTTATGGCTTTTCTCTACACAGGAAGATGCTAACAGGCTGTCTATTTGTGTGTACTTGTTTTTGTGTTTGTGCACATGCATTATAGTTTTGTTTTTATTCTTTTTAGCTGCCCTGAAGACTTGGGATAGTTTTTTCTTTGTTACCCTATCTCTCTTTATTCAGAAAATCATAAAGCACTCTTAATCTACTGCTTTACTCTAGAACACTTTGATGCTTTTTTCTCAAATTTCATCTGTACCCATAACATTAACAATGACTGAATACTAGCCTTATGCTACTCATTTATGCACTTATATCTCTGTTATTAACACCCATGACTAACATCAAGTCTTTGGTAGATACCCACCTGCATATTACATAGCAAACTTGGAAAACACTTATCTCACAGTTAAATTACCTAAGTGAAATAAATTCATAACTACTTCCTTACAACTCAGTTTAATGGACTTTTCATAAAAAGTCCATTATAAACACTATAGGTTTTTTCCTCTAAGATCATATAGGAATAGAATTCTATTAAATCAAAAACCATATTTCAATAACAAAAATCAGAGTCTTCTTTGGAAAGTGTATTAGACAAATATCTTCATCATGAGATTCACAATTTTTAGGACTAAGACAGGGATAAATTTTGTGACCCCATCTGACTAGTTCCCATCATCTTAATCCCTAACTAGTATACACTGATATACCTGGGATGCTCTGGTGTGAGGCTTCTCCTACAATCCATGATCCAAGTCTTTGCTCCAAATTGAAGATCAACTCAGGTTTGGTCTTGCAGTGGCCTATATATAGGAAATGTTAAACTACTAAGTCAGGCAGAGAGAAGAAAGAATCCTCATTTGAGGAGACACCCAATTATGAGGCCAACTAGCTTTGAGAGAGTTTATATTCCATTCTTCACTCACCCAAGAACAGCAAGTTACTGTAGTTCTCTAGCATCACATCCCTGTAGAGCGTCCTCTGACCTTCATTCAGGTCCTGCCATTCCTGCCAAGTGAATTCCACAGCTATATCCTCAAATGACACCAATCCCTGTAATGACACATTTCTCCTCAGCCAAGAGTTCATTCTTCTGTGTAGATATCTGTCTTATACAACACAAAACTTGATTTGTATTCTGTATCATAAGAGAAAGAAATATCTTACCTACACATGAATTTGATAATTCAAAAAATTATTATCCAGTTTCCCTTAAAGATGCTGAAAATTCTTATTACTAGGAAGAACAGGATTAATAAAATTCTCCTCAGAAAAGTACCTGATATAGTCCAAAGACACAAATACAAACACACTGTTGATATGTACAAAACAGGCAATGTTCTATGTACAATAGGACAATGAAGTAGAAAACATTTGTTACTTATACAAGGCAGAAATCTCAAATGATTTCATGGATGTATTCTCATGAATATGAAGGAAGAAGTCCAGTTATGACAGCACAAAGGACATAAGACAGGCTAACAGAGCTACACAAAATACTGGGTCTGAGCATTCTCATACTGTGATGACTGATAACACCAGTAGATGGTCAAGTCATTTATTACCCAATGATTTTGAATTTAGGTAATTCAAACAATTTAATTTCAAATATTTGTTAGAAGTCCAATATACACATAAATAATAATTCAGAGACTGGAGGGATGGCTCAGCAGTTAAAAGTGCCAGCTGTTCTTCCAAAGGACCCAACTTTGATTCCTAGCACCTACACCGTAGGCCACAACCAACCAGAACTCCAATTCAGAGGATCTAATGGTACTCAAGGGCACCAGACATACTCATGTTACACAGACAGCCAGGCTAAACATCCACACATCCATATACATAAAATGTTTAAGAATTAAATCTGCTTTAACAAATGATAATTGCTGTGATAGGCAATTTTGTATATTCTTACTAAATCAAAAACTGCTCCTGCTACTGAACTGCCACTGCTCGGATCCACATAAAAGTGACTATTAGCCATTTCCTAAGTCAAAGGGTTTAAAAAGAGACATGAGGAGCTATAAAATATGGAATTACATGAACCACGGTAACATGTAATCATCTATATGATTAACCTCGCATTTATAGGCAATTGATAGTTACAAGGAGAGGGGTTCACAAGGCCCCAACCTTTCTCAAAGATTTATAGACAGCTAGAGAGACATTCTTTCAGTGGTGTAACAGCTTATGAATTACCCACGTTCCTATTAAGCAGCCCTAACTGGTAACACTGGTTCACCAGGACTTGAGCAGAGGAGTTTCACCTGTCATTGGTGTGTCATCTGGATGAGTTATGTCTTCCCAAGAAATATTCACACAAATGGATAGTAAACATGCTCGATCACAAAAGTATTTAGCACTCTATGATGGGCACTGGCAAAACCAATGAAACAGAAACAAGAAAGAGCACCATCTTCACAACATAAACCAAATATCCCAAGAGAATTCCCTGGACACTACTCCAAACAGGAGAATTCAAAAGTCACACCATACCAGTGACATAGGACTGGGGATATAGATATAGTTCAGTGGTAGAGGGCTTTCCTAGCACATGAGGCCCTGGTTTCAATACCCAGGAATGCCAATAAACAGATGTTAGATGATAGACAGATAGAAGACAGAAAGACAAATACAGGAAACTGTTCTAATTTGCTTTCTATGCTTCAATAAAACACTGAACAAAACCAACTTTAGAAGAAAGGAATTTATTACATCTTTCAGGTTAGACAGAACCCATCATCAAGGGGTACCAAATCAAGAACTCAAGCAGGAACTTGTAGGCAATAACTGAAGCAGAAATCAGAGGAATGCTGCTTACTAGCTCTTTTCCTCTAGCTTATTAGTTGCTTTTCTTATATAGCCCAGGCCTACCTACCCATGATGGCACCACCCACAGTGAGCAGGGACTCCTACATCAACCAGCAACCAGGAAAATTCCCAACAGATATGACCACAGATCAGTCTAATAGAGGCAACTGTTCAGCTGAAGTTGCCTCTTCTCGATTATGTCAAGCTGACAAGCAAGATTAGCCATCACAGAAAATGTTCACACATAAAAACATGTCCAGACCATACCAAATTAAAGATACCTATTGTAGGACAAAAATATACCAACTTATCAGAGAATAAAACAAACTAAGGTTATAAAAAATATCAACAAAAACTACATTCATGAACATAAAATTATACACCAGAGAATACAATAAATAAATGGAGTCTATATCACAGTGTCATTAATTTTTCTCATGTCAGTAAATTTTTCTCTTATATGTGAAACAGTTGATTTCAATGTTATTATAAAAATTTTTTTACACACTGGCAAGGTATCTCGGAGGGTAAAGGTGACCATCAGGAAGTCTGGATGACCTAGGTTCAATCCCTAGGTCCCATATGGTACAAGAACAACCAATTCTCAAAGTTGTCCTCTGATCTCCAAATACATGCACCAAAATAAATAAATAAATAAATAAATAAACACTTTAAAATTAACACACACAAAAAGCAACGGAATAGCACAGGTTTAATTCCTGTTCTTCAAATCCGATGCATCCCCTGTATCAGTTACTATGTGTTGCTATAACAATTTATACAGAATAGGAGACAGTGAAATTCCATCACAATTGTGTGAGTTAATAGTCAAGGTTGCAGGTGGCTCAGTTCCTGATAAGGTCTCCCTTCTGACATCCAGATGAGAGCCTAGAAAAAGTGTCATTACTTGCAAGAATAAAGTAATTCTCCCTTCCACATCAGTTTTCATTTCTTCAGTCTGGAGTTCAAATCATGGCTTTGGGCAGGGTAGATAAATGTTCCTTCTCTGTTTTAGCAGCCGCCCTTCTCCCTCTTCTGGATGAGCACGTGCAGGTGCATGGTGTCAGCACCCCACACCTCTTTCCTCACTGGACGCTAACTGCCTCCTAAAGGCCCTATCTCCAGTTAGCACGTGGATTTGGATGTAGGCATCAATAGTCAAATGCTGTGGAAAGGATGAACACTTCATTCACAGCCCTGACCGCCATTCCTTCATCAGAGTGACAGACTGAAGAGTCACAGCATTCACGTAAGCCAACCTGGAGCCTCCCTCTGCTGTCTGGGCTCCCTCTGCACTGTGAGCCATGCAAGTGACACAGTCTTCTCTGCAGAAGCCAGAGGAGTCACATGTAAAGCACACTGTCTTCTAGGTGGAAGCCAGGGGTGCCACCCACAAGTTCTCGTTTTCCCTTTCTCCTGGGTTTTGAGAATGTACTACACAAAGGGAAAAAAAAATCTTTTTCCTCTTGTATCCCAATCAGAGAAGCAAATGCTCTACGCTCTTGGACAGGTTAGTATGAGTTAAAAAGAAAAATTTGCTTCTGATCTTCCTGGAAACTTAATTACCATGATAAAAATCATCGGAAATAACAAGCAGTGTAAAGATGCTGTTATATACTGTCTTAAATGCTAACTAAAACTGAATACTAACTATAAGAATGGCACTCAACCCTACTAGTGCTATAACCTAAGCTATGCTTTACTTACACCATTTAAGATAACAACTGATGTAATACAAGTGCTGCATAGCATGTTCTGTGCTTACCACAGGGACAAAACATAAATGACAGCAGCATATTTCAGGATACTACACTTAACAAACGTATCCAGTTATGAATGGACCATATAAACACGACCGTTTTTAAGAAGTAAAAAGGAGCAAGGAACCTGTAGACATTTGAGAACATGCAGTTCTAAAGTTTAGGTGTGTTTCCATCTCATTTTTCATGCTTGTATGCTAGGAATTTAACTCATTTCCACAGCAGTCAGCTAGAACATGGGAAGTTCCAAGTTTGACACATTTTTTTTTAACTCCTACAATGTAAAACATATCAAGAAAGATTAAAAATGACTGAAAATGGAGACTTTTTAGGTCAGATGAAAAAACAGAAGCTGTCTACAGGTGACTCTAAGAAGATCAGCTGGGTGGTGGTTGCGCACACTGTAATCCCAGCACTCAGGGAGGCAGAGGCAGGCAGATCTCTGGTAGTTCGAGGCTAGCCTGGTCTACGCAGCGAGTCCAAGACAGACAAGGCTACACAGAGAAACCTTGTCTCGAAAAACTAAAAAAAAAAAAAAAAAAAGAACAAGAGAACAAGAAAATGAATAACAAAAGACAAACTTTATTTTGAACAGAGGGGAAGAATACTGGGAAACACAGAAGAGGAGACTACGAGCTGAAATACAGTGAGAAAGACAAGGCAGTGAGAAGGAGATGATGGCCAGCCTCAGCTCAATCAACCCACAGAAGAAAGAGGCCAAAGATGCATCTACGGGTAGGCCAAGAAGCCTGGGGGAAAAGGAACTGACAGTGGCTAAAGCATGGAGAGGGCAAGCCCCACCATTGCTTAAGGAGTATGAGGAGTTAATAACTGCTGAGCATTCCTTAGTAGTGTTGCCACTACCTAAGCTAGCTTTGCAGTCAGTAACCCTCTAGCCATGCTCATGCCAACAGCCCTAAGTAAACACAGCAGGCCACTAAAAAAATAATAAAACTATATAAATAATTTAAAAAGTAAAAATAAATAAACAAAAAAAAGGAAGAGAAGAGAAGGGCCCATTGGGAAGGAATATTCAATAGGAGGAGGAAGGTAATAAAGGATAATGACCAAAGAATACTATATATATGTATGAAACTGTGACACGAGTTTTTAAAGTTGTATCACTTATGTTAAAAGTCAAAATCGTAATAGTTTAAAAACATTTTTCTCACCATCTGGGAACAGAACACAATGTATCCTGTGCCCACTGATGGCCCAACCTGATGCCCTACAGTCAGCAGGAATTAAAGGCACAGAGAGCGCCAATAGGAGTTCAAGTCACCTTGCAGGAATGAGAGAGGCCCATCACCCACCCCACAGAGAGAGGGGACCTGTGGCCAGTGACCCAGTACTGGGTTCCAGCCTGTAGATTCCACAGCCACAAATGACTCCCACCAATCACAGTCCGTGGTTCAAGGCGCTGACCCACACACTCACCATTTCTGGCTTCCAGGACATCGAACGTCCTCCCTATGGAACTCCCCGACCAGCACGTCACAGGGCAACAGAGTCTACAGCACAGCCACCTAGACCTCCAGAGTAGAGGAGACTGAGCCTAGGGACGCATCTCAAGATGGCGAGCTTCAGAGTAAAAAGCCCTAGCAAGACTGGGAAGGTCTGCCCCCTTCTGTTCATCTGCCTGATTAGACATTCTCACCCCAGTGCCTTCAAATGTACAGGAGGGGCTGCCTTGGGGGCCCTAACTAACAATAGCGTCACCAACCCTTAAATGAATGAAGCTATCCTAACGGGTGAGTTGAAATGGCAATCATATGTCTACATGTCTGCATGTGTTTCTGTATGACCCAAGACTATCTTTCAGTTAAAAGTAGTCAGTACCTATAATGTACCTACTGTTTTGCCAATATTAGTCATGTGTCATTACATTTGGGAATCTATCATAGGGGTGATAATTATCTACACTAGATAACAAGCCCCTTCAAAATTTATTAAATACAGTATGATTGGGCTGGTCAGTAATTCAGGCTAGGAGCAGAGGGCTCCTTGTTAGTTTGGAACTTACCTGATGGTTGGAGAGGCAGATGAGCTTCAGAGGCTGACCTGACTGTCAACGGGAGCATCTTGATTCTCCTCCTTAATTCTCATCCTCTTGTGGCTCATTGGGGCCTTCCTCTCTAGCAGGGATCTGAAAGAAAAGGGGAATGTATCAAGGACCTTTCAGAGCAGATACCAAACTAATACACTTTCCCATTCACAGCTTCAAAAGCAATGTGTCAAACAGGCAACTCCAGATCCAAGGTTCAGGAAAACAAGTTCCCTTTCAATGGGAATGTCCTGGTTATGGGTACAGAGAACTAATGACAACTTGCTGACATTTCAAAATTCAGTATCATTCAGCCTCTACTTGTAGATAAAGTTTCTACACCTGTTCCAAATCAAGGAAATTCTCTGACCTAACCAATTGGACTCTGGGATATATATATATATATATATATATATATATATATATATATATATATA